CCTCAAAAACGTCATTAAATTTCTCCACAATTGTCTGATACTCCTTGATTTTCTCAAAGCATTTGCTGCATCAGGCAGACAGTACCCAAATCTCGAGTAATCATCAATGAAAGTGACAAAATACTCGTAACCTCCTCTAGTTTGGATCGACATAGGACCACACAAATCATAATGAATCAATCATAGCACACTCTCACTCCTATACCCTTTGTCGAAAACAACCTCTTGGTCATCTTACCTAGGCACGATTCGCAAGTTGAATAATCATCTTCTAATAGACCGAAATGTCCGCTATACACCAATTCTCGAATCCTCCTAAGGTTGATGTGTGGGTGTGGTTATTCCCTCTTTGTGGAAGCAATAGTCTCCACTTGTTGGAGTTTTAGTTTTATCTTTTGTTTGGATTGAGTTTCAAGCTTATTGGTTTTTGTGCGGTCGTCACTGTCGTGTGCTCGGACTCTATTCCAGTTATTTTAGTTTATTTAGTCTAAGGTGCTTGTTTAGTATTTATCTAGTCCACCATTTTGGTAGATTTGTAGGACTAGTTAGCATTCAAGTCTTATCTTATAAATCTCCTTTTCAAATATTAAAATCTGTTATTTTGGAAGAAAAAATGCATGCAAAAATATAAATAGTGATAATGGGTCATTACCCACAGCAGGTCACGATTGAGGCCTGAGGACGGAGCCGCAGACTAAGACCACATACTAAGTTGGACCTAAATTGCCCCATTAGCTTTCCCTACAAGTAGCATACTCTAGAGTTTGAGCTTAACGAATAAAGTTAAACTACATAAATAAAGTAAGGTCAACATTCCTCCAATCCCAACATTTCTCTTATTTTTAAGAAAATTGATTATACATCCCTTATTCCCACTTTTGCGCATCCACATAAACAAATACATTTATTTATGCTAAAAACATTAATTAACAATTATAAATATAGTTTGTCGAAACGTAAAGCTATTGGTTACCGTGTTCAAAGATAGCCCACAAACACCTAAAAAACTTGACACCAAAAAATTGCCCATTTAATAAATGCTCAAAACAAACACTCCAAACAATTTCTCTCTACTCTCTCTCTAAAGCTCAATTTTCAATTGAGCTCTCGCCGCATGGAGATCTGTTTTTCTGTCTAGAGCGTTGTCTCTATTCAACAACCGCTGAATCTCACTGGAAAATATAACATACAGTCACACACATTTAAACGAGTCTATATTGGTTTGGATTTTCTGTATCTTTATTAAGTACAGCGGGTGAACTATTCTGGGAAAAAATGGGAGGGAGCAAATGGATTAAAGTGAAAATGGCTCTCGGGTTGAAGTTGAATGCTTGTCTGTACGTGCCGCGAACGATTGAGGGTTCTCCGGCGGCGTCGGCTGCGCCGCCCATGGAGAGGTTTCACGACGCCGTCGTTTTGTCTACTGCGCCTCCGCGAGATTCGGACTATGTGGTCCAGATGCCCACGACGCCCACGCCGTCTTCCTCCGGTCTCCTTTCACCCAAACACTCGTCAAAAACTGCAAAGGTCAATTTTATTTATTTTTGTGTTCGGGAAACTATTTGTGACTTTTGTTGAAGTTCTCTTTTCTTCGTCTGTGTGGTTGTGTATGCGTTGGCTTTATTTTTATAATTTAGGTATTATCTTCATGCGTTTGTGCCCTTACTTTCATTTTCTTCAATTTATTGAAGCTGATAATAGAATCTGTGCTGGATTCATGTTTTCATGAAATTCTGCAATTACTTTTTTTTGTGGGAGAAAAAGAACAGAGCCTACATCTTGTGCCAATTAAACTATGGTTTCCTCTATCATTTGTAGCTAAATATTATCTCACTGTCTGTTTAGCTTTGCGTGAAAATTGGATTCTTTTTTTGAAACGGGATTTTCATGGAATTTTTAATGAGTGCATTATTTTTGTGCTACAGCACATTCTCGAGGAGACTCGTCAAGAAATCCATTTGTCAAATATTATGCTAAGAAGTAAGGCAATTCAATATGTTGTTTTAACTGATAATCATTTTCTTTCCCACATTCTTTCCCTTTTGCCTCTTTGAAGATTTATTTTTTGCCTTCTTGCTTCGATAACCCAAAAAAAAAAAATGATTTATCTTTTCCCAAAATAAAAAATAAAATAGGTAAAGTTAAAATAATGGTTGCGTTCTGATGGGGGTCGTTGGCTGAATTTGTTTAAAGGTTGTCCCTATCACGTGGGGCGGAGTTTACAGGGGAAGATGGCAATAATGGGCAGATTTGTATTCATATGAAATGTCAGCAAATGGGCCTGAATTGACATGTAGTTTTCAGATTCACAATGTTGAGAGGTGGGGATTAAAGTGGTATACTCCCTTTTGAAAGAATATATTTAGTCGTCTGGCCTTAATCTATGTTAAAAAATGCCCCCAAAAGTGTATCAACAGTAATAACTTTTTTTTTTTTCTCTTTCATATCTGCCCCTCCTCCCAGAGGAAAAAGATGGTGCTTTTCGTGGTCAGCAGCTTAACTGTTTCACACATGACACTACACATTTTCACATACTTCTCACCCCTTTTCATGAATATCTTTCTCCAATTTGACCATTGTTTGAGAGGTTCATTGCAATACAACACATCAGGCACTTGATACTCAGTCTTACTGAGGCCTAACGCTTGAGAATAGAGCCTAACCCTAATGTTTAGTTTGGGATCTTTAGAATAGAGATTTCATGGAACTAAAGCAAAGGGTTGTAAAGTTGACAAAATTTATATTGACTAATAATTTCTACTTCTTTAAGCAGTTTTTTAATGCCTCAAAAAGCTTCCCGGTTAATACTGGGAGCTTGCTTATGGGCCTTGACATTTTTTAAAGTTTGATTGATATATGGTTTCTGATTTTTAAAGTATCCTTATTGACTTTATCGAATGTCTAACCAATCTTCTTTTGACATTTTCATGTTTAATTCTTGTATTTTGCACTATTCTGTGGTAAATAGTTTGTTTATGGAGATGTGGGGTCAAGTCTTTGATAGTGCAGAGTCCACTGCTATATGATGGCAAACAAAATGATGCAACTACACTAGAATATGTCCAATTTGAGATCTGAATTTTCTAGATGAAAAAATCGACTTTTCTCATTTGTTCAAAGTTGAATTTGTATTTGTGGCTATGAAGTTGATCATGTAAAAGCCATGAGTCAATGTTTCCAACCATGTCTATCATACTAGTAATTGACAGATAGGTCCTTGCCAAATTCCTTGCTTGACCCTAATTTTATTTCATTCNCCATGGACACGCCATCTTCACAGCTGAATGCTCACACTCATTCCATTTCCACTGCATCTCCTCCAACGTGAAGCACGGCAAACGAAACTGCCCTGTCTGCCGAGCCAAGTGGAAAGAGGTCCCAATCCAAGACCCTTCCCACAGAATCTCTTTCTCTCCCTCCAATCGAATTCCCTCTATTCGCCGCCCCTCTTCTCTTCTCCACGCGCCCGAGCCCCCTCTCTTCAACGACGACGATGACATCATCACTACTGATGCCACCTCACCGGGAAAGAATAATATTCCCCATCACGACACTTTCACTGGACTAGTCGAGGTCACGACATATCCGGAAGTTTCCGCGCTCCCGAAATCCGCTTCCCGCAACGACTTCTCGATTCTCGTAAATCTAAAAGCCCCAATCACGGCTAAATTACCACGAGCCCCGGTCGACCTCGTCACGGTTTTGGACGTGAGTGGGAGCATGGCCGGGACGAAGCTCGCCCTTCTCAAACGGGCCATGGGCTTCGTCATCCAAAACCTGGGCCCGTTCGACAGGCTGTCCGTCATCGCCTTCTCGTCCACCGCTCGCCGCCTCTTCCCCCTCCGCCGGATGACCGAGAACGGGCGGCAAGAGGCTCTTCACTCCGTGAATTCCCTCACCTCGAACGGCGGCACGAACATTGCCGAGGGTTTGAGGAAGGCAACAAAAGTTCTCACCGAATGCAAGTCTCGAAACCCTATTTCGAGCATCATACTTTTATCAGATGGCCAAGACACGTACACGAACCGGGCCCCTCCTTCGGAATATCGTGTCCCTATACACGCGTTTGGGTTCGGCGCCGATCACGACGCGGACTCCATGCACCTGATTTCCGAAAATTCGGGTGGAACTTTTTCTTTCATTGAGACTGAGGGCGTAATACAAGATGCCTTCGCGCAGTGCATCGGCGGGCTTCTGAGCGTGGTGGTGCAGGAGCTTACGGTGGAAGTCGAGTGCGTGGACCCCGCGGTGAGGCTCGTCTCAGTAAAATCCGGAAGCTACAAGACTTCTTTGGCTATGGATAAAAGAAGTGTCACAATTGAGGTCGGGGATTTATACGCCGAGGAGGAACGTGATTTTCTAGTCTCGGCTGATATCCCGATTCACGAGTCGCGAGGAGAAGAGATGTCTCTGGTGAAAGTGAAATGTTACTACCAGCATCTTCTTGCTGGTAGTAATTCGATTCCTCTCGATTCTTCGAGTGAAGTCAGAATCCGGCGACCGGTGGTAATCGAGCCCATGCAGGTGTCGATGGAGGTCGACAGGCAGCGGAACAGAGTACATTCGGCCGAGGCTATGTCCGAAGCGAGGGTGGCCGCAGAACGAGGCGAGTTGGCGCTTGCGGGGGCGATTTTGGAAAACTGTCGAAAGATGTTGTCAGAGACTGTGTCAGCACGAGGTGGCGACAGGTTGTGCTTGGCGTTGGATGCGGAGCTGCGGGAAATGGGGGAGCGAATGGCGAGCCGACAGGTGTACGAGGCGTCGGGGAGAGCGTACGTGTTGTCGGGGCTGAGTTCACACTCGTGGCAGAGGGCGACTGCACGTGGTGACTCGGGTGAGGGTTCGGGCCTGGTTCAGGCTTACCAGACGCCGTCTATGGTGGATATGGTTAATTTGTCTCAGACTATGGTGTTGGGAAGTTCGAACCAAGGGGCGGTTAGGCCAACAAGACCACAGCGGAGGTGATTATCATTATATTATTATTTTATTTTATTCTGGTCTGGTTAGAGCTTCTAAGATCTTATATGTCCTGATTGGTTAAATTTATCGTTCATTCTCATGT